CTGATGCACCAGTGCCCAGAGGTGGAACTTTGGGGACAGGGACAAAGGGCCTTTAACTTATTCATTTGATGAATTCATAATGGAAGGTGTTATTGGCTAGTGGATACTGTGGAAGGCAGGTCCTAGTTAGAGGAAGTGGATCACTAGACAAGGTTAAGCCTTGTCTACCTTGTCTCCAGTCCTTTCCTGTTGGTCTCTTTGGGCTTCTGGGCTGCCATGAGATTGTCACCAGCCTCTGCCACACATTCCCACCTCTATGGTATTCTGCCTCGTTTCTGGTGAAAAGCAGTGGAGCTAGCTGACCACAGACCTTTGAACTGTGATCCTTTTCCATTGTTCCTCTCAGGTACTTGTCACGGTGACAAAATGTCTAACACGGTTACTTATTGTCATGCATGATACTTGCATGCCTTAAAGGTAGTTTATGATTTCGAATTACTTGGGGACTCAGTCATAATCACTGGCCATGAGAATCTGCTGGAGCTTATTATCATACCAACATTGTTATTACCAGAAGCATTCTGAGAAAGATGCCAATTTCATTTATGGAATTCGGGTCCTCTAAGGTGCTCTCTTTCATCGTAGCTTCCAGGGGGGCAGAAAGTCACAGGTAGAATCCAAACACACAAGCAGCTGCTTCTAAGAGGGTGCACTCCATCCCTTCAAGGAAACCTCCTTTGTAGACATTCCAGGGCTGGTGATAACATCTAGTGACAATGGTCTTATATGTCTGCATCTTCAGAGTTTTCACCTTCTCCAATGGGCAGACCTTTTCTGTTTTCTAATGCAAGCTTGTTCTACACCACAAGACTTTGACCAGAAGATGCTGCCATGCCCAGGTTTTGATTTTATTTTGTTTTTTGGTTAAACAATATAGCTCAGCTCCTAGAAAAAGTTTTAAACTATAGACAGGAACAATTAGTTTGTTGATCCCATTTAGTTCTTTAGAGAAGAAAGAATTACACATGATGGTGCCAATAGACCTCAGTGTCTCCAAGTCTAACAGCACTGGAGAGTCTCTCTCTCCCTCCTTCCCCCCCTCTCACTCTTCCTCCTCCTCTCTCTTTCTCTCTCCCTATCCCTCCCTCCCTCTCTCTCTCTTTCTGGTACATTACCATTATCAGCTCCAGGAAAGATTATTTTGGAAACAGTGTAGCATTTATAGAAGACTAGGAAATCTTTGGGTACCAAAACAGGTAGAGCTAATTAAGTCAGTTGTTGGGGTTTGTTGTTGTCATTTTGTTTTATTTTATTTTGGTTTTTCGAGACAGTTTTTCTCTATGAAACAGCTCTGGCTGTAGACCTGGCTGTTCTTGAACTCACAGAGATCCAGCTGCCTCTGCCTCCCAAGTTCTGGGATTAAAGACTTGGGACACCACTGCCCAGCTAAATTAGTTTTGCCTACTTCCTATTATCTAACAAATAACTCTAAATCTTGGCATGTAGAAATAACAGCTTTTTATTCTACTTTTGCATGTGTGGTGAGGCAGGGAAGGGGATTGGGGGGAAGTTGAAACAAGGACTCATGTAGCCGTGCTAGCCTTGGCTTCCCTAAATTACTGAAGTTCACCGTGATTATGATGGGATCACAGTCCACCACCATGCCCTTCTGGTATATGAAATACCGTATATGGAATGCCATGCATGGAATACACTGAAAGGTTTCCAGAGACCAAAGAACGCTTGTTCTTTACACAGAACTAAGCTAATTGTCAATATTCTGCGGATCTCTCTCTAGGAGGGCACATTCCCCTGCAGCTGGCACTGGCTTTAGGCTCCATGCATGGAATACACTGAAAGATTTTCAGAGACCAAAGAATGCTTGTTCTTTACACAGAACTAAGCTAATTGTCAATATTCTGCCAATCTCTCTCTAGGAGGGCACATTCCCCTGCAGCTGGCACTGGCTTTAGGCTTTCCCTTCTCTCAGTGTGGTATTCCTGGGGGGATTCAAGTTTCTTGGGGTTTCAGTAGGCTGACTCTTTGCCAGGCAGGTTATGTTTAGAACACTTTTTATTTTTTTTCACAATCTCAGTTCTTCAAGAAGTTTTACTTACTTTAAGCTTATGGGTATTTTACTTGTGTGCGTATTGGTGTACATTATGCCTGCAGAAGCCGGAAGAGGGCACTGGATTCCCTGAAACTGGAGTTGCAGACAGTGTGGGCTGCTGCCATGTGGGTGCTAGGAACTGAACGGGGATCCTCTGGAAGAGCAGTAAGTGCTCTTAACCATCTCTCCAGCCTCCAAACCTCTTAAAGAGACGCTATATTAATAGTGAGCTTTTATCATCCTTCGGTTTTTTTTTTTTTTTTTTTTGTAAATTTTTTTGGAAAGGTGCTGAGTTCATGAGCTTAGACATGGCCGTTATTTAAGCATCGAAAGTTCCAATTTGTTGTTGCCTTTTTCAGAAAAGGAAGAGAAAGGAGGAAGGCAGGAACGGAACGAAAGGGAACAGGGTTTTATTTAAGTGGGGCTTGCTGGTATTATTTCCGAGAGGCGGCTCGTGAAGAGCTTGCCCTTCCTAAGTGGCTGTTCTGGTCCACGCAGAGCCAGGAAGCCTGGAGGCGGGTGAGCGCCCCCTGGAGGCCACGGGGCGGCTGCGCAACCGACCGCGGAAGGGCGGGACCACGGATGGCCACGCCCCCTCCATCTTGGCCTTCGATTTCCCGGCCGAGGGAGGTTGCGCCATTTCCGCTGCTCTGGCCGCGATGCTTCCGTGGTCCTGGTGGCTGGTTCTCTGGCTGCCGCCCCTGGCTACGCTGCCCGCGGTCGCGGTGCGCGAGGAGGAGGCGGCGATGTCAGGTAACCCCGGCTCCGGGCGGGAGGCCTCCCTTCTGGGCGTCAGGGTCACGCGTGGGCGCGGCCAGGCCCCGCCCCTGTCTGCGAGCATCCGGATGCTTCACATTTTGATTTGTTCAGGATCAAACCGCTGGGCCCGACACAGCTGGCCCCTTGTCACCAGTTTATGTCTGAAACTTTATTTTATCCGTCTCCACAAATCTCATGAAACTCAAAACTAGAGGAGGGTAAAAGCTTCATAATGAAACCGGAATTCTGTCCCAGATTGACTGCTGTGCCCCGGGTGGCTGATCATAGGCAAAACATTGCTGATGCCCTGCCTTGAACCCGGCGCCTAGGACGCAGCTAGGTTGGGGTGCTTAAGATGCTGACTTGGGAAGTTGTAGTTGCAAAACTCAGCAATTCTCCGTGAGCTTAATTTAACATTTATTTTTCAGCATCCCATAACATCCTTCGAAAGATTGCTTGTTTGCATTCTTCATTGCATTGGTCACCCATGAACTCCAGGGAGGCTGTCAAGGGTGGACTTTTAGTTGGATAATCTCCCCACACCAGCAAAGTCAGTAGGATGTCTATGGCTGAAAGAGAATGGATGCTAAGTAAGCAGCTACTAGCTTCAGACATAACTTGTGCCTCAGTTGTCCTTGTCCTTTTTATATAGACCAGGCTGGCCTTGAATGTCTTGCTGCCACCTCCCAAGTGAAGGGTTTACAAAGCTGTCACACCTGGATTACAGATTTGGTATCACCTAGTGGTAATGGTCACTCCAGATATTCTTTGAATGCATGTAGGAGGTGACCACTGTCCTGAAGTGTTCAATGATACTGTGAGAACCCCTTGCCTGGCTAGCCCTAAGAACTGCTGCTACTTTAAAAGCTGTGGTTTTACAAGGAACCCTGGGATGAGACAGCTAGACAATAAATGCCCTCACCCACAGGAAATGTGTTTTTTAAAAACACACCCTAAATGGCTGCCTGAAACCTCAGATAGTATTCAACCTTACATATACTTTTTCTCCTGTATATGCATACTTGTCATCAAGTTTAACTATAAGTCAGGTAGAGCAAGAGAAAGATAATTATTAAAAATGCAGTTATAATGGATGTTATGGAAAAGGTTATTTGAACTTACATTTTATTACTTTGAGAAGTTTCCCATCTAATATTTTCAGACCTTGGTAGAACACAGAAAACTGGAGCTTTGGCAAGTGAAACTGAGTGTGATGGAAGACTGTTGGTCCTTCCTACCATAAAGTAGTAGCTATCCAAAACACAGGAGGCTTGCCTTTGATTATGCCAAAGGCCTTTTCCAGCTCTGAGATCCTGCCTTGAGCACATACCCGCTGCCATGGCATGAAGAACTCTAAGGCCAGCCCTCTGTCACCCTCTTTGTAGAAAAGGCAGACACTTGTCACAGGAGTTGTCCGAGGAAGAGAAACGTCAAGCCAATAACTCTTAATTTGAAACCAATAGGTCAGGTCCATAGAAGCTGCTTCCCTTCAGCTGGGTTTCCAGAAATGGCTTCCCAGGTTTCCACTCAGATTCACAGCCTGAAATTCTTCTGTGGCAAGGGGAAAATGTCTCCTGAAGTTAGAATCAGACTGTGTGTTGGGATGTGCCAATTTCAGTTCTGTTCTCATGTCATTGGAGGAATAAAAAAGCAAGATTTATATTCGGGTTAAAAGCAACGTACTGGAATTAGTACAAGAGAGACGTTACTTATGTGGCTTACACCTTTGAAAAATGTGAATTTGCCAAAAATATCAAGAAGATCTTCACTCCATCTGGAGCCATTTGATTGCATTTGAGCTCCCACAAGGACAGTTTGTTGGCTTTTTGTATTTTTATTTTTCCTGCTTATCCCCATCCCAGAAGAGGCAAGTCTAGGTTTAATGAAGAGAATGGCAGTGCGTTTAAGTGTCTGCTGTGTTTCTGTTCTGGTTTCATTAGAGGATCATTTTTTCCATGTGAAAACTATGGAAGAAGCACTGCGTTTAAGTGTCTGCTGTTCTGGTTTCATTAGAGGATCATTTTTTCCATGTGAAAACTATGGAAGACTAGGTTCCCAGGAGGAATGCTGATGAATTATTTTTTTGTATGGGAAATGGTTTAACATCTGCTAGCGCTTGAGAAGTTTTCATTCTTCATTTTTAGAAAAATCTATAAGTATGTTTAAGTACTACCTGCTCCTGACGTTTTGACGGAATATTTTTGCCATATGTATGACTAAACTCTTTTAAGTTAAACATACTTAGACAGTTAGGAAACTAATAACAACAAAAAAGCATTGGAGGAGTCATTTGCTTTTGACTTAGTAACAAAGCAGGTGATGGATGTGAGTCTTTTTTGTGTGTTCAGTAATGCTCCCTTTCCCCCAGGGACTCGTTCTGAGCCCCTGAGTAGATAAATGAAATTCCAGAGCTCTGAGCATGAGTGCCACTCCTCCACCACTGAAGGAGTCACAATGACTAGTAATACAACAACACTAACAGCAGTTGCTTCAAACTTATGAATTGTTTATTTCTGGAAATTTTCATTTAATTCTTTTGCTTCATGGTTGACCCAAGTAGAAAGTGAAGCCACAGAAGCAGGGGGACCACTGCAGTCCCACACCACATTAGCTGAATATTACAAGCTTCGTGATATTTAAACCAAATGGAGACATTTGTCCCATCGGTTCACATAAACCCTATTGAGGCCTTTGATAATGTGATTAATTCCATCTGCATGTTCCTTAATCTGTTGAACACAGAGGGGAAATCCAGAGCAAGTTCTAACCAGGAAGTCCTTTATATAGCATACACTGAGGTCAAAACCAAGCTTCCTTGGCCTCCTCTGTCTGAGGAGGAGCAAGATATCTCATTACCAGGGGAAGGTGTTTTAAGGTAGCCTCTCCACTGTTGTTTAAATGGTTAGTTGGTGTCATCCTTGTAGATCTCTGAACATTTCCCTATTCTCTTTAGCCCTACAATGGCTCCCTCTATTATGGTATCTCTTATTTTGCTCTCCTCTATTCTCCCCCCAGCTCATCCTTCCTGCTCCCTCATGTCCTCCTCACTCCTCCTCTTCTCCCCTTCTCATTCTCCTAGTTCCCTCTCCCCTCCCTTCATGCTCCCAATTAGCTCAGGAGATTGTCCCTTTCTGCTTCTCTTAGCGTCCTCTTTGTTGCCTAACTTCCCTAGTGGTGTGGATTGTAGACTGGTAATCCTTTGCTCTATGTGTAAAATTCATAT